AAAATAACAAAAAATGATAATCTAAGTAGACCAATTTTATATATAGTAGAGATTTTTTCAGTTACTATATGTTAAAATACCAGATAAAGCATTATTGAGGGTAATAATAAAAACAAGGACCCTCAGTACTCACATTTTTCATTATCCAACGTCATAGATGCGTGTCCACATTTTATCGGACTTGTTTGTGAAGATGCAAATAATTCGAGTTTGGATAAATCATTATCAGGATTAAATGGCGATATCAATAAAGATACATCATCATTACAGTGATCATGGCTGGTCCGTAGAATAATTGGTTCTTCAGCATCATGATCAACAGGGGCTGAATTATGTGAATTAAATTCTGACTCAACTTGCGAACCAGGGGTCTCTGATGAATAAGCTGCTTGGCCTGTCAAGGAAAAATCAGAAGCATTCGAATAAAGATTTAAGGCACCCGCTAGCAGAAGTAAGGTTCTTCGACATGTTGGACAGCTTGGAGATTGATCAATCCACAGTCTCAGACATAAATCATGAAATATATGTCCACATGGTAAGCGTCGAGCGAGAGTCAATTTTTCCCAACAGATCGGACAAGCTTCATCCGGATTCTACGGGTATAATGCCAGTTAGCATAGTAAATCATGAGACTGAAAGAAAATATGCCCATTCTTACCTCAACAACATCAAAAAACAAAAGTGAGTTGATAAGTAGGTATCTTTGATGCTTTTTGTATCGTTTGACCATTTCACCATAAAGATATTGTAAGTGCATCATAACGATTAGACAAGACATATTGACCTGTATATTATTCCAAAAGAGCATGTGAAGGTTGTGGACGAAATCAAGGCCGTGTCCCATGGAAAAGAAAATAAGGTCAACGTAATAGAAGAGCGAAGAGTGATTAATCCTAGACACACCACCGGGGCTCTGAAGGATGGATTCAATGTAAAAGTGTAATCCATAACGAATGAGAACATGACTTGATGATATCATTAATTGATACACTTCAGAAAGCATGAAAATCATTAAATGAATGGAGGATTTAATTCCAACAGCAATGGATATGCCGGCCAAACAATGGCCTATACAGAGAACAGCAATAAGAAGAACTACCATTTTCAAATGTAGTACAGCGGTTGTATCAGGCATTTGAATAAGAAACTCAACACGCTGTCTAACCAAACCAGTTAAAATTTGAAGAAAGCCTAAGGAGGACGACCAGCCAGCCCATAATAATAATTCATGCAAACTTTCAACATTTAAGACACCATAAATAAATACAAGTTTATAAAAGAGAAAAGTCCAAAAATTCTCCCTGATGTGTTCATGTTCGTTAGGTCTTAGTTCTCCAAAAAAAATTGTTTGAAGTGTCAAACCAAGACAAAGGAGCCCGAAATAAATCAAGTTAATAAAACTCCAAAAGCACCAGGAGTCAGCATGGCAGGCATCAAGCATACGCCTCATACCAGATTGTTCATAGCTACTTGCAGTTCCGTTCAACCCAGTAGGAGTAGGTTGGTTAGGGTCGTAGATAATGCGAAAGACTGAACCGAAGAAACAACTAAGAGTGAAAATAGCATATGTAGAGAAATAAGGCAAAGGAACCCTCTCCAGTGATAGGGCATACATGTTGAAAAACTATGAAAACAAATGAGGGTTAAGCATCACAAATATAAGGAAGTCGCAGCGAGATGGTATAATTTCACAATGTTCAAAAGATGCGAGTATATACCTAACTAATACAAACAGATTGTGTTTTTAGTGTTATGTATATAATAATATTCACTTAATTTATATTAAAATAATAGTTTTGGCCAACTCATAACGGTTTTTTTAGTGAATAAGTCTTTTTGTCTATAATACCATTATTAATATTGTAAATAGCCTAGCTCGATAACTGATAACACTTTTCAACAGCTATAATGGAAAAATATGTAGTTTTTTTGCCTTAGTAGAGTTCTTAGAATACGTTAATCGAACATTTTGTCTCGCGTTATCCTAAAATAATGATAAAATAGCAAATTCCGGAATCTAATTTTCAGACTTATAGAGCCTGTAACGAAATGATATTATGAGATATATTCTTCCCATTTTGCTAAGGTGATAAAGGACTTATAGTTTAATTTTCCGCAATTATAAGAGTAAGAAGTGGATTGACCTCGTTGTCACAACTTGGTATTGTTTTCTGGGAGACCATGTAGAACGGACCTAGTTCGAAGTCGTCTGCCATAGTAGTTGTCATGATTCCCAGCATCTGACAGTGGACTTGATACATT